GTGACATGTGGTCCCTGGAGGAAGTCCCTTCGCTGCCCTCTGCCGCTCCGGTACCAGCCCAGTCTCTGTGGGGCGTGAGCTCAGTTAAAGAAAGGGTCCAAGTTCTCTTCCATGTTGACATCCGGCACCAGCTGATCAGACACCTCCTTAGCACCATATCCTGAACTGGAGACGCTGAAATCTGTCGAAAACCAAGGATGGTCCAGAATTTCCTGCGAGGTCAGCCGCTCGGAAGGCTCCCGCCGCAGGATGCTCCGGATGAGGCACTTGGCCTTGGGCGACAGCGTCTCTGGAATGTTGAACTGGCCGCGCCGGATCTTGCTGAAGAGGGAGCTGGGCTCAATGTCATGGAAAGGGTACCGCCCTACCAACATGGTGTACAGCATCACGCCCAGGCTCCACACGTCAGCGGCCTTGCCCGAGTAGCTGCCACTGGTGTTCAAGATCTCCGGGCTCACGTAGGCCGGGCAGCCGTGCTTGTCGGAGAGCGAGTCATCATCTCCCCGCAGAATGTAGGCATCTTCCAGGCTTTCCAGCTTGACCCGGGTCCTGCAAGGAAGGAAAGGACACATGAGCTCCTGAGGGTGCTCCGACACATCCATTACCTCACAGCTCCTGCTCGGTGTCCAGCAACTCCTACTCCTTCCTTCATCTGCTCACCAGCCTTCAGCATTACTTACTGAGCACCTTCTAGTGCCAGACCCCCTTCCAGAGATGGGGACACAGGAGTGAGCAAGACTGACAAGGACTCTGCACGAAGCTTACAACCTATTAGGGGACTCAACCTTTAGCAAGTAAACAGGTCACCAATGACAGCATTGCCTCGTCTTAGTGCTGAGGGAACAAGACATTAAGTCACCTGCTCCAAGTCACATCTGAGTAATGACTGGGATTCCCAAGATCTGAACTCAGATCCAACCAACTGGGAAGCTGACAGAAGCTCTGTCCACCACGCTTGGTAAACCTGGCACACACCGCCTGCAAGGACCTCTCACTTTACTCAAGTGCACTTTGGCCTCACACAATGCTTTGGTTAGACATGGAAGGCTCTACGATCCTATTTTACAGGTCAGAACATGGGGGCTCAGAGCTTGAGTAACTTGCTCAAAGCCTTTTAGCTGGGAAACAGAAGGCCTGACCTCATGTCTCCCTAAGTCAACCATGTTGCACGTGTGTACATGTGTGTGTGTGTGCTTGCGTGCATGGGTGTGTGTGCGTGAATAATAGGATGAGCCCAAGAGCCTTTTCAAACTTGTCACGCTGTTCCCCCATCTTCCCCCTGCCGTGTGAGGACCACAGTGCTGGCTGACACGAATGTAGGACCCCCCTGGGGGCACTGGGTAAGAACAGAGGCGGAGAAATTTCATGAAACTCTGAGTCCCTGGAATCTAGGCCTTTATGCAGTGGGTCTTGATATCATCACTGGGTATAAAATAAAGTAAGTACTCAGTAAACACTTTTGGAAATAAGTTGAATTCTTATCATTAGCTATACATACTTTCCAGTGAATGGAACTGAGGACCAGGATGCAAAGTGACTTGTTCCAGACTGAGGGCTGTCCCCGACCCAGCACCATAAACCCATAGCCCAGTGTTCTCTGTTTAGCCAAGAGGCCTCGCGAGAATCCCTGTCTCCCCATCTTGTGATTCTTTTAAGGGGAAAATTGAGAATGACTACCTTTCAGTGCTTAACACCACAATCCTCCTCCTCCTCTCCTGGCCCAGAACACTGCCACCCGCACAGAGGGCCAGTGCGTCTCAGGCCCCATAAACTCAGTGAACCCTATTCCATCACCCTGATCAAGGCTTGCCACGAAGGTGACATAGGCAGGGGGGAGGGACTAGATTTAGGGTTAGAACCTCATAAATAGCACCAACTAGGTCCTACCAGGTCCCTATCAGTCACGTCAAGTGGTTCCTTCATCTCCCTGCTGCCCAGGTGTCATGAGGCTCACATGCCCAGAAAGGAGAAAAGTGCTTGGAAATACCACAAGGTCCTCAGTCAGAGCCCCGACTCCAGTCCATCACTGCTATTTCTCGCCTTCCTCCTACTGCACATCTTGGCCTTTTAGGGCGATGACCACCGCTACTCAAAGAGCCCCAGAAAGGAGGCGAGGCTCAAACTCATCCAGGGAGAGCTCCACAGGACAGGTCTGAGGAAATCTCAGCCGAATCTAAGATCTCATATTTGTTTTTGTAACATATTTTTATTGATTTTAGAGAGGAAGGGAGAGGAAGAGGGAGAGATAGAAACATCAGTGATGGGAGAGAATCATTGATCTGCTGCCTCCTGCGTGCCCCACACTGGGGATTGAGCCTGCAACCCAGCCTGTGCCCTGACTGGTAATTGATCCGTGACCTCACAGTTCATAGTTCGACACTCAACCACTGAGCCACAGCGGCCAGGCTAAGATCTCATATTTGGATGTTAGCAGTTTCAAAGACCACGGAGTGACAACTCCCCGGTACTTATTTCCATCCATGAGCAAGAAATGGTGTGGGTAGCCCTAACTGGTTTGGTTCAGTGGATAGAGCATCAGCCTGTGGACTGAAGTGTCCCAGGTTCGATTCCAGTCAAGGGCATATACCTTGGTTGCAGGCACATCCCCAGTAGGAGGTATGCAGGAGGCAGCTGATCAATGTTTCTCTTTCATCAATGTTTCTAACTCTCTATCCCTTTCCCTTCCTCTCTGCAAAAAATCAATAAAATATATTTTTAAAAAAGAAAAGAAATGGTGTGGGTTGGAGCTAGGAGAGTGGACTGAGGCCAGACATCTCCACCTGCGGTGTGGCTGTGGAGCAGTCACTCAACCTCTACGCCTCTCAGCCTTACAGAGGACTGTTGAAGAGGGTAACCTTTCTTTGTTGGTTTTTTTTTTTTAGTTGTTTATTGCGGTAAAATTTGCATAAAATTTCCCACATTTACCATTTTTAAGTGTAAGGTTCCTTAGCATGAAGTACCTTCTCACTGTTGGGCATCTATCTGGACAAGACAGCCTGAACGTCTGCTGGATGGCCATCCCGGGGCTCCAGGATGCAGAGCAGCGGATCTGTGACATGTGCTCCCCCTGCTCTGTCCTAATCCGTGGTCCACACCATCTCCTCTTCCGACAGCGAATGGCCCAGAAAGGCAGGGAGGGTCGAGGGTGCTAATCCGAAATCGTGCTGACTACGTACAGAACCCCTCTTGCTTTGCTTTTTCTCCTCTAAGGGGGCAGGTGGGCTGACCCACAGCAGAGACTGGAGGTGAGTCAGTGAGACGCAAGGGGCGGAGGGGAGGGAAGCGCAAACCACAGGCACAGGTGGGCTCTCTCCACAGCTTCCTCCGCCCATTCTCACCCTTAAATGCGCCTGCCCAGTTCAGGAGGGAGCCAGACTCCTCAACTCCAAGTGCACTGTCTTGGCAGCAGAGGAGCTGCGGGAATAATCATCGCAGAGGAAAGAACAGTAATAATGATCATAAGCCTACCCAGCGGGAGAGGAACACAGAAGCGAAATGAGCACTAAATCGGAACCGGAGGGTCAAGCCCGGGCTGGGCTCCTCTGCGGACGCTCACCAGGTAAGGCCAACACCTTCGCCGAGGCCGCAGTGACCCAAGGCATCTCAGCCTTGTCTTCAGCCCTGCCCCTCTCTCCATCCCAGCCTCCCCACTGTTCCTCAAACACGCAGACGGACCTGGGTCCTTCCCGGGGCCTTTGAACAGGGTCCCCCTCAGGCCCTCACCCCAAATGCACTTCTCCAGACGCCAGTGCAGCTCACTCCCACTCGCTCAGGTCTCTGCACAGGTGAACTTTATGCAAGAGGCCTGGCCTGACCACCCCATACAGTGCAGCCCCATCCCGCTGCTCCCTACCCCCTCGTCACCACCTGAACACGACGCATGTTCGCTATATGTCTTATTCCCATGCTCATCCCGGGGTGATTGCCTCATTCCCCCTGCTGGAGCCATGGGCAGGTGGCTGAGGGCCCCTTGCGCATAGAGACCATCACCTGTGTTACTGCGATGCCTTCAGCACCTACGCTGGTCCCCAGCACACGGCAGACACTCGGTCCACGGGTGAAAGGCAATCTCACAGTTATGCCCTCAGCGTTTCTGTGGGCTCAGCTTTAAAGAAGCAAGCACCAGCTGCCTCCCTGGCCAGGCTTAGTGAGGTCACGTGAAGGCGCCACGGAAGCAGGTGCTGTAAATTACTTCCGGTGTGGGTGGAGGGAGATGCCACCCAGCCCTTCCAGGGACAGACTGCAGCGCTTCGAGCTCTTTGCTAAGCCCCATCTAAAGCCCTGTCACTCTCATCCCTGTCCAGGTCACACCCCTAGGTTCAGACTCTCTCCTTCCCCCACGCCTCTCCCCCAGGCAGCAAGGACCACACCTGCATCCTAAGCCCTCTTCTGGGGTCCTTCTCCAGAAAGGGCCCAAGAAAATTCGAAAGGGCTCTCTCCTGTCAACGAACCCCTCCCTGCAGCCCCCCTCCCCACCCCTCCCACCCCTCCCCACTTGGAGATGGGACTCAGAGGTTATGCAAATACCTAGGGAATTTGAGAGTGAAATCAAGACACCCCATGCGCTGCGGTCCAACTGTCCCCAAACTCACCCTTGTGTTGTGTCCCGACCTGCTTGTCACATCCAGTGTGGTGTGTGCTGGGGCAGGGCAGCCACACAGTCTGCCAGTGCAACTCGAAAGTTACCAGACACCAAAGACCACGCTATGGCACGGAACGTGTGCCAGGTACCTCCGCCTGCTCTCAAAGTCCCTAAGATCAACTTCCAAAGCAAAAATGATCTTCCCTCCATGTGGATCCTGAGCCTGAGGCTGAGAGGGTGGGCAGGCTCGTCTGGCTAGTAGGGCTAGTTGGGGGCCGGGCGCTCACCTCTCTGGGTTGTGAGCTCAGCCAGCGAGGCTCCAGCTACGTGGGCAGCACAGGTGCGCCCTGGACCAGGGCAGGCGGCCCGGGCAGGAGCCTGCTCCCTGGATGGAGGAGCACCCGCATCCCAGGCAGGGGAGGGAGGAGGGAAGGAGAAGCCAGGAAAAGGACGCAGAGGAAACAGCCTCACAGGCAGGCGTCTGACCTTGCCTGCTTCTGGGAACATCCTGAACTTGTTTACATCACTCCCAGGCAAGGGTCGAGGCGGGCGGCCTGGGTTACGTCTTTAGACAAGGTCCTTCCAGGGTGCGCATGGCAGGGACCAAGCGGGGCTGGAGTTCCGGTCCAGTCCCCACGGACTTGTTACACAAGGAAGGTCTCTGGGGCTTGACTCCCACTCCGGGAATGGGGGCCACTGCCCTCGCCTCTATAACGTGGGTCAGGGAGGCCTGGCGGAGCACCTGTGTGGGTCCGAGTGGGAGGAAATGAATGAATCTGCTTTCCACATCAGATGTCCCCTGAAGAGCCCGAAGACTATAAATTTCCAGGCGAAGAAATTTATTTTCGTGACCATCGGTGGCCCTAATAATTCAAATGTCCATCATTTGGGCATTTAAAGTAGGAACTTGGGGTGCAGGCATGACACGTGACACCCATTTGCTCAGTTCTGGGGGATTCAATGAGCA